ATTTGCATTGATCAAAGGCATCTCCTTGGAGTCGGACTTCAAACACAAGGGACCCGATGCTCTTTGCCAGTTATGCCCTGGTTCCAACTGTTCGTTCAAGTACCATTCTATGTTTTCTCTTCACTTATGTTTTTCGCCTTTTATGTTTTCACCTTATGTTTGAACTTTTTCTGATTTAATTGTTGACACATATGCTTTGTATATACACCTAATGAAACACCATTCTTTGTTCTTTCTACAGGACGGGTCCCTCCAGCACTCTACAACGAGCATTGTTGCGTGAATCAGAACAAGACCCAATAACAAGTCACGTGATTCATACCAGCGTTGCAAACTTCCCTTGCTGCATTTATCTTTCTCCAGAGCTCTCTCTCTGAGGGCAGCACCAAGGCATGTTGCTACTCCTGGTTTTTGGGTAGATGGTCTGCCGCGCGCCGCTTGTGTTACTCTGGTCTTACCGTGCGACCTCGAGGGTGTGGCCACTGTCTTCACCTCCCAGCTGCAAATTGATGGCCACTGCTCCTCTCCTTGCAAGTTATGAAGCCTTTTAATTGGTGCGTTTCCAGTCTGTCTACTCTCTTTCAAATCTTCTTTAGAGTCTTGTACTGAAATTATGCTTGCTTTCAGTCGCTCTCCCTCCTTCAACATGTTGTCTGCAAACTCAGAACACACCCTTTCAAATACCGGCTCGAGGACCTCTGCATGTCGGTCTCCGCCGTTGACGTGGGCGCCACTTCGCCCGTGTTCCTCTCGATTTCCACCTCTAAAGCCGCCTGGGGGAAAACACTCTGCCTCTGCCGTGCCTCGGCTTTTCCGTCGTTATCACCCTGTTTGGCGGGCATCCCCACTTCCTCTGCGCTGTCTGTTTCTTATAGACGTGAGTGGATCCTCTTTTGATCCTTTTCCAACTTTCTCACCTCCCACTCCGTTTTTTTGAAGATTTCGCGGGCACCTTTGTTACTCGTCCCTTTGGCTTCCCTGACTTCTCCTAGGCCTGCGCGCGCCTTCCTCACCCGTACCTGGTCTGTTGGCCCTTACTGGCATTATCTCAGCACCCCCCAGTCCTCTGGTGGGAGGACCTGTTTGCAATCCGCGAGTTCATACTTGTGAAATTTGCTGGACTGCGTCCTGCTCGACTCGCCTGACGCTTTGGTTTAGCCGAGTGCCAGCGAGCGAGTCATTGCCAACTTTCCAGCAGGCTCTGGCAGGCTTCAACTGGGTTTGTGAATACATTGATTCACGCCAATCCGCGAGCTCGCTGACTGCCGCAACAACTCCTCCATTTGGCTCCACCAATTATATCTTGAGAGGTCAGTTGCTTTTTTGCTTATTGTTTGTTTAGTGTATAATAACTTCAGCCTATTCTTAGATCGAAACAACCACGCAAAGACGACATTTTGCAATTTCTTAGGCATCTTTTCACATTAATTAGGCCTGTTTTACTTGTTTGAAATGGTAGACGATTTCTTTTTTCATTCTTCGAGCTGCTTGAGCTGACCTCTCTACTTCGCAGTACTCTTGCGGCGGTTGCGGCTATGAGCAAAGCATGGTCGCCTATAGGATCCCCTCGCACATGCTCATACAAGGATATAGGAATCATTGACCTCAGGTCGGTATTAGGTGTTATTTTGGGGCCACCCGAGATCACAAGGAATTAGTAAGTCTCAGTCTCTCTATCCCAGAAGAGAGTGTACCAACTCGCATTTTAGGAAAGCGAAGAAGTTCATGAGAGTGCCACTTAGGAGCGGCATTATGCATGTTCGAGGTTCCAGGCTCTGGAATGCGTCAGTTTGGCGCCTAGCTCGTAAGTTTGGTACTGTATGTGGTGTAGATCTTTAGCGTGTATGATGTCAACGTTTGTGGATTTCTGCCTGATACGAAAAGTTGGATGAACTGTCTAGTTGATCGGATAAAGTTTGTTGAGTCTACTATACTCACAATTTTGTGTTCTCTTCTCCAGATCTTTGCTCAGCAGTCATGGGTATGTGCATAGGTTGCAGGCTCGACTTTCCATATTTCTATGGAGACACTTGCCAAAAGTGTGTCAAGCGTGCTGCTGCGAAGTCCGAAGTTGAACGTGGGGATGTCGAGGTAAGAAAGTGTACTATTCAACCCAGGATCTTACTGACACCAACTACAGTGCCAGCCACAATGCTTAGGCTGCTCTGTTATTTACCTTTTCATGAAACATGAGCGGTGTGGTGCCTGCATCCAGAAAGAGCTGGATGCCAACAGTGAGGAACCTCTATATCTTCTTCGGTGTCTATCTGTAATCATTTCACCTTTTTTTCAAGAAGATTTGAGAACAGGTCTTATTGGGCATGCTGCAGAATATCAAAAAACAGCATCCAACCATCACCTCAACCAAGCTGCAAGCAAAATCCTCAGCTCCAACAAGCAACTCGGATGAAGGAGCAACTAGCGATGGTTCGCAAGGCTTCAAAAGTCGACACATATACAACTGAAATCTCGTTATGGATCTATCCGCTGGGTGGAAAGGCTGCCAAACGGGTAAACCACTCTCACCTTCAATATATATTACTTTCTGACATTCTATGTATTCCTAGGTGCAGACATTACCTCTTCATCGGATCTGGAAGGGAAGTGAATTGGCGAAAGATGTTCTTGAGTTTGCCAAGGCCGAGTTGAAGAAGGCTCACAACAATGTAATCTTGGCACAGCAGTCAACTCCCATTCCGTTGAATTTTGCAGAGTAGGCTTTTTTTTGCGATGAATCCTTACTCTCTGAACAGTGTTTATCATAGTGTACAATTCGGACTCTCGGCGAACAAAACTGTTCACCACTTTGAACCCACTGAAACTCACTTAGTCGGAACAGTGGATGCGATGTTCGAAAGCTTGAAGCTTGACTCAAAACTCAGTGCGAGCGATGTGAAGGAGAGACAAATGCCTCTTTGAGTCTACGTTTTTGAAGTAGATACAGTAAGTTTATCCTGAACATATCACCAGGCGACTATATGATCTGAGAAACATTACTAGAAGTGGTCTGATGAAGATGATGATGTGCCATTCACTGCCAGCACTCGGGTATCGCAATCTACCAGACGATCAAGCCATGCCAGCACCAAATGAAAAGCGTCAAGCGCAGGTAGTTTGATTCTTATCAGTTAACGTGCCCTGACATCTGAAGTGCTTGTTAGGTTTCGCATCAACATATACCAGCTCGTTTCAGCCTCGGAAAAAAGCTATCTCTAGCTTTGATGTTGATGATGTGGCCCCAATTGATATTCCTTTCGACAGCTATGAGTACACACGAATGACGGTGACCACAGATAAAGAAGGACATGTTCAAGATCACATCTGTCTTGAGCCCAAGACGATAAAAATTGCCAGGGATTGGAAGAAAAACATTGGTGATGGTCCAAAGGATGGGTATCTGGCAAAAGGTTTCATGAAATTCGCATTTTTGGTAGGTCGTGAGTGTGTCGATCTGTCCCACAACTGAATGCCATTCCAGGGCCGGACAAATAGTAAAACTTACACAATTTTTCAGTGCAAACCCCAACGTGTCACTGAAGCGCAGAACCGAATCAATCTGATTGCTGAGCTGCGACTTCTAGCTCTGGGTCAATATTTTGCCGAGTCCTTCGCCTTGCGACTTGCAGTGCATGAAGTAGACGCGAGTACAAGTGAGTTTCTTACTCTTTCTCATACCTGCTCTTACGCTATCGCAGGTATTCGCTGGAATTTCCAAGATGCTTTTATTGGCGATGTTAGCTCTGGTATGCTTCCGTGCCCCGACATTGGTGAGGAAGACCTTCAGAGCCTGAGCTTCCCGACTTTCTTGGCGGCGCCTCTGATCACTACGACTGGACTCTATACTGAGCGCAAGTTCAGTGGGAGTGACGCCACTGGAAACAACCTTGATGAAGTTGGTCGGATTGTTGATGCCTATGCTCACCACGTCTTGGTGGATAGTCAAGGCTCTTACCTTCTGACAGATTTGCAAGGTTTGATGTCTCGAATCCAAATCAAATTGGTTGTTGACCTCCTTGACATAAGGTGTTGTAGGGCCTGATAAAGAAGTTATTTTATTTGACCCACAGGCTCATTCATAAGTTCGTTGCATTTTTCTTGCAATTAAAAGTCAACTTTCTGTACAGGTGTGAGAGCGAAACAGGAT